GGTGGTCTTCAGACCCTTCACCAGCTTTGTTGCTCTTTTTTGGACACGCTCCAGCACCTCAATGTCTTTCTTGTAGTGAGGACCCCAAAACTGAACACAGAATTCAAGGTGCAGCCTCACCAGTGCTGAGTACAGGGGGACAATTACTTCCCTAGTCCTGCTGGCTACACTATTGCTGCTACAAGCCAGGATGCTACTGGCCTTGGCCACCTGGGCACACCGCTGGCTTGTATTCAGCCAGCTGTCGACCGACACCCCCAGGTCCTTTTCTGCCAAGCAGCTTTCCAGCCACTCTTCCCCAAGCCTGTAGTGGAGCATGGAGTTGTGACCCAAGTGCAGGACCCAGCACTGAGCCTTGTTGAGCTTCATACAGTTGGGCTCAGCCCATCGATCCAGCCTGTCCAGATCCCTCTGTAGAGCCTTCCTGCCCTCAAGCAGGTCAACACACCTGCCCAACTTGGGGACATCTGCAAACTTACTGAGGGTGCACTCAATCCTCTCATCCAGATCATTGATAAAGGTATTAAAGGGAACTGGCCCCAATACTGAGCGCTGAGGAATACCACTTGTGACCAGCCACCAGCTGGATTTAACTCCATTCGCCACAACCCTTTGGGCTTGGCCATCCAGGCATTTTTCTACCCAGCGAAGAGCACACCCATCCAAGCCGTGAGCAGCCAGTTTCTCCAGGAGAATGCTGTGGGAAATGGTGTCAGAGGCTTTGCTGAAGTCTAAGTAGACAACATGCACAGCCTTTCCCTCATCCACTAAGTGGGTCGCCTTGTCATAGAAGATCAGGTTAGTGAAGCAGGACCTGCCTTCCATAAACCCATGCTGACTGGGCCTGATCAACTGGTTGTCCTGTGTATGCTGGGTGATGGCACTCATGATGATCGGCTCTATAACCTTCCCCGTCGCCAAGGTCAGACTGACAGACCTGTAGTTCCCCGGAACTAGCTGTCCAGCATGGTGTAGTTCCAGGTGGCTTGTGAAGGACAAACAACAATACATTTCTGGGATCAGAAGACAGAGATGACCCAGCCTCTTCACTGCACTTGGATGTCAAGCTGTTCCTGCTGACAGGGATCCAACATTCCTCTCCTGGCTGGGTGACTTCCATGGTTTTCCTGGGTCTGCTGCTGCCCCTGGGCAAGTGTGGGTTGGCGAGGCACCGGTGTGTGGGTTGGCGCAGGAGCAGGCACCAGAGCAAGGGTGCGTGTAGCACGGTTGTGCTGGGGGGATGCTGGGGGGACAGATGTCCGTGCTGAAGGGTGGGATCCTCCTGCCAGTGCTCCACTGCTGTCATGGCCGGTGGAGAGCTGCTGCCAGAGGGGTGTGTGTGGGACAGGAGGGGGTAACCCTGACCCTGCCAGCCCAGCCTCGGCACCACCGGGACGGTTCTCGAACTGTCTACGGCTCTAGATGGTGCAGTCTAGAGAGAGGAAACTCTGACCTGTTTATACTCTGCCTGCATGGTTAGGGGGGACACAGTTCCTTTCACCTGGAGTTATATTTTGGGAAGCTGCTGTTTCATCAGGAGAATAAGGTCTTGGCATTGAGACTTCCCAAGTGATTTTGGTTGCTTTCACTTTGATTTTATTTTGGAAACATTCCCCCTCCTTTGCCTGAGTAAATAAGCTTAATTTCCATCAACAGGAGTGGAAAAGGTACTTAGCTTCCGTTTGCATCTCTTCCTGTCCTCTGCAAACCTTCCTCCTCCTCCCTCAAATCTGTTGATGTGACAGAGCACCTGACTACCCATGGTCTTTCTGCTTCTTTAATTTTTATTTCATGACATTTACTGAATTTACGAAATTCTACAAAACTTCTACAAAGTACCTCTGAGTGGGAGCACCGGAACCATAAGGAACAACAGGAAGGTTGGTGTAAAAGAAACAAAGTCACAACCAGAGACAGTGGGAGAATTGAGAGCCCTGGAGAAGGTGCTCTGAAAGATCAACAGGTTTGGATGGGTAGGAGGAGGGTTTGCAGGGGGTAGGAAGAGATGCAAAGAGAGGAAGAGGGAGAGGATGAGCTAGAAGTAGAATTGAGTGAAAACCAGCAAATCAATGAAGAGGAGAAGGAGCAGTGTGTAACTTGGCTGCAGGGGTTTTTAGCTGTTTTATTTCAGGTGTCTTACAGGTACCCTTGAGCAGGTGCCAAGGCTGCACTGGAAATTTTAGGTCAGGATGAGGACTAAATCACATTTGTGCTGTGTGCTTCGGCTGTGGGGAATTCAGGTGGCACCCACTGGACGCTGCTCCCTTGTCTGCCCACGTGTAGAAGGTGCAGCAGCGCTGGCAGCAAGGTGCCTCCCAGCATACATCTTTAAAACACTGCTAAACAAAATTGAAGTCTCTTCTGAAGGCAGCTCGTAAACCTTTCCGGCATTTGCGTTTGAAAAACAGTCATAGCTCACAGTGCAATTTACTGTATTAACTTTCTGAGCAATTAATCCACCTATATCCTGCCAGGTCTCCCGTGGATCCTTTGACAGTTCATCACAGGGCAAAGAAATTTGTCAATTTTAATCCTCCTCGCTAATTTTTAGGTTATGTTTTCTTCTGGTAAAACCAAATGCTGATATGAGCAAAGCAGAGCAGGTCAGAGTGAGTTGGGTGACGTCTGGAGAAGCAGGAGCTGGTGCTCACCAGCCTTGACCTTTGTGGGGAAGCTGGAGAGGCACGTCTGCCATCCGGGCCCTGAGCTAATGGCCCGGCATAATGAGCATCCCCATCACTTCAGGCCATGCCAGCAGGCTCTGAGCTCTACCAGCAATTTTCTGACATGGGTTAAAGGAGGAAAAGGCAAAGCTCATCTGAGTGTGGGCAGGGGGAAAAGGAAAAACAGATGGTTCTCGGGACATGCAAGAGCCTTTTTTTTTTCTCAAGGGCACAGCCTTCAAGCCTCCCAGACGAGTAATTCCTGTTTATACACCCACAGAAGGTGACAGTCCTGGTTGTGGGCCTATTGGTGTGTCTTCCCAGACATGATATGTTTATTTTGTAGGTGGATGTCAGGAGCTGCATCACACTTTTTTTTTTTATTTATTTAAAACCAGGATGAGTGCAAACATCGGGAAGCTCATTGTATGCAGCAATTCTGCTTTGGCTGGGACTGTAAGAGCTAATGGTCTCCTTCACTCCATCTGTCTGTTTGTCCTATCCGTGGTTGGACCGATGGCATACTCTGTCCTTCAGCCCCCCATGGCATTCTGCGTGGATGGACGCTAGAGCTGAAGGAGAAGCAGCATCACAGGGTAGCATCTTCCCTTAATGCCTGGATTTACAGCAGGAGTGGAAGATCCCTGTGAGAATGAGTAGATGCTGTCCCAGTAATGCCCTCCTCCTTATGTGGCAAGAACCTGTCCTGGCCCAGAGGCTGAGGTCTGAAATGGCCAGGTTGGAGGTGGAGACCAGGAGTTTGGGGTTGGCAGAGGCCACTGGTTCCTTGTGTTTCCCAAGATAAGAAAAGGAGCAGCACCACACTATTGCCTGATGCTGGGGGGAAACGAACCTAATTCCAAAACCTGGTGCACCTTTCTGGGCACAAGGAGAAGTGGTGGCTATCAGATACCACTATTCCCTTTCCTCCTCTGTTTGATATTTGGCCTTTTCAGCTTTTGTGTGAGAGAGCCTGAATGTGGGGTAGGGAATCTGAGTTTTTTGACTTCCCTGGACCGAGTGCTTACAATTTCTGTTTTTCTTTCTGGCTTCACAGAAAGCTACTATGCAAATATCTTGTTTTACCCTCTGGTGGCCAAAGGCATTGGGTTTTGATATTCCCTTTTAGCCTGCAGCTGTCTGGAGGAGGGCATGGAATCCAGTGCTGGGCAGCTTTCTTCACTTACAGCTTGGGAGAGGGGGTGTCCAGGTCCAGGTTGTTGCTATTTAAGCTCCCAAATACTTTCCTTGCCTGTCACGCACCTTGCTGGGGCACTTCTCCAGCTTCTCTGGGGCTGGGGCATGTCAGTCTTCACTATGTCTGATCAAATAATTTCTGTTGCAGCTGTTAGGGCTGAGTCCCCTACCCACAGTCCCAACTGCATGCACGTGGTATTTTATTTATTGTGGTTTTTTTTTTTTTTTAGACTCTGATATTTTTTTTTTTTGTCTGAAGCAGTTGGAGCTTTTTTGTTCCAGTTGAGAACTGTTCAAAATAGACACCCAGGTGGGATCGGTTGTTCTAATGTAAATATGTGTCAGTGTTACCAGGGATATTCTGTGACAGGGCTTTCTATGCCATTGCTGAAGGTCTTACTTAATTAGATGATTAGTCTTCTGGTCAAGTATCTATCCACAAATAAAAAATAGCAGTTGAATATAGCAGCTAAAATACTGTTGCTGGAATCAGTCTGTGGCACAGAGCAGGAGGGCTTCTTATTTAATTAAAATCAGGAACATACTGTACTGTACTCTCCAAGGGTCAAGGAACAAAAGGGACGTACACATAATAAGTAGCAAACTGTCCTTTCAAACCCCTTGAGCTCAGCCCAGGGGAGCTGTGTTTAAAGGGACACTCTCAAGATAACATTTGTGATTTTTCTTCTTTCTTTCTTTCTTTTTTTCTTTCTCCATACTGCTGCGTGGATTATTGAAGATGAACATATCCTGTGACTTTTAATTTCCTTCTTACCTGCTCTTCCTTGTGGATTTGAAGTTGTCATCAGGACTGCTTGGATACCAAAAATCCCTGTGTGCATGCTCAGTGGCTGGGTTGAGCTTACTGGGATGCCATCCCAGGAGCCAGCCTGCAAGCGGCCCCAGTGAAAGGCTGGAGGCAGATGGGGCCAGGGGCTGAGCTGCCATCCCAGTGCGTTGTGGCACTGGGAATTACTGGGAACCCTTCTGTGGGGCGGGGAAAAGCACTGAGCTTTGTGGTCCAGCACCCAGTGCTTCAAAGGAGGAGAATCTATATAGTTTCTTCCGAGTTGTCATGGTTCAATGCTTGCTTGAAAGTTGCCACCAGCCTAACGAGCTCTTCTGTGTTTGTTTCTGCAGGACGTGGCACTGTTGGAGTACCAGCATCATTCCAGGGATTTTGCTTCCCACCTCCCGCCGGGGTCTATCATGCAGCCGCAGCGGCGGCGGCCATCCCTGCTCTCCGAGTTCCAGCCGGGCAATGAAAGGTATCGGCTCCCCGCTTTCCCCCGGCCATGGGCATGTCCCGACTGCCTTAGCCAGTGGTTTGCACGGCGCTGTGGTGTGGAGGAGGGTTGTGCGAGGCCTGGGCAGTGTTATGTTGTGTATTGGTACTGACTGTGCTCATTCTCTGTGCCAGTTCAGTTTTGTTGTGCTAACGCAAGTGACACCTTTTGCCTGCTGGTTTCTTCCTTTGGACTGTTGTGCATTTTAAAGATACCTTAAAAACACCACACAACCAAAAAATCCCACCCCTCTCACTTCTGTGAAGCTACACATCGCTGTGACTGGTTGCGCTGGCTTTCTTCAATATGGAAAATAAAGCTGTGTGGTCGGGCTTGGTCTGTGGCTCCCAAGGCTGAAGGGAGGAGTGAGAAGAGCTCGCTTCCACTGCGCATCTCCACTTCCTCTTCTGCTGCTCTTCCTCCCCGCTTTCATTGTTTTTGTTTCTCTTTCTGTGTTCTCCTCGCAACTTTCTCTGAGCTGCTTTTTTTGTGTCTGCTCCACTCATGGCTCTCCCTTTGGCCCCTTTTCTTTTGTAGCCTCCCGTGGGAGTCTGGCAGTGTTTTTGGGTGCTGCTCAGGGAAGCGCTGTGTGACTGGAAATGCTGTAGATGCTTTAACCACAGGAGCTGATCTGTTCTGAAGGCCACCACTCTCACTCTCTGTTTTGTCTCAAAATGCTGCTCTCTCACAGTTTCTCTTCTGCATTTGATGCTTTAGTGGTTTTGGAAAATACTGGCCTGGAAGTGAAATAAGATTCTTGTTACAGTAGATTTATGCAAAGCATTTTTTTTTATGCTTACACCTTAGTTGGGCTAAGAATAAAACCAATGCAGAGTGAGAGATGAACCTGGTTCTCTAAAATCATAATTGTTAGGGGAAAGGAGAAAGACCTCGGGGTGCTGGATGCTTAAGGGTGTAGATGCAGACAGGACTCTTTTTCTAGTGGCATGGGCTCAGTTTGGTGCTCAGTGGAAACATGCCCATGAGAATCTGGAGGTAAAAAGCAGCCTTCAAAGTTAGATTTGCATCTGCCCTTCTGGATTGTGCCTGTGGCACCTGCCTGTACAGAGGGTGATGTCCCTTCTGATGACTAGTAATTTATTGCAGTGTGTTACACTGCCTTGGCTTGCTTTGATTTTTCAGTGCTTTGATTTCTTAGCGCAGGGTAACACGGTTAAGTTGGAAGTGGGCCAGATTCATCTAAATTTGGGGGAGATGGGTAAAGAGAACACAGCAACGTGCTCCTGCCTGGTTTTGTTTTTCACACTGCTTACGGTTTGCAAAATGGAGAACCAGTTCTGCTCTCCAGTAAAATGAAGGTTTCAAGGTCTGAATATGCTATTTAAAAAAATGTATCTTGGTTCTTCCACATAACTAAAAAACCCCAACTGCAAGCCTTGGTGTCTGCTGTACCGCAGGCCTCATCTGGTGTGGTCATCCAAGCATCTTGCTTTGGCCTACAAATGTCTCAAACTCTCCAAGCTTATTTTTGTGTTGACAATCACATGAATGTGGGTAAATGTTAATTGATGTTGTCAGGTCTAGGTACACATCCAAATACTTATCGTGGTTACTTCACTTTCAACCTGAATGGTGAAGTTTTGGCACGCTATAAAAGGAATCATTTTTTTGCAGCAGACCCAATTTACATTTCATCCCTTTTTCCTGTAACATCTGTAAAATTGAACTTCTGCAAAAATTATACTGGGTAATAAAGCTAAAAATACCACTTAAGTTCAGCTCAGTTGGCATCATGTGCTAGAATGCTGGGATATAGACTCATTACAAAAAAAAATTTGGGGGCATCTGGGGATGCAGGATGGGGGGTCTGCAGAATTTTTCAAATCCTGTGTAATTATTGAAGTCATTCAAAATGGGTGTCATTGGGGTTGGGGAGGTGTTAGTCCAGTTTGCAAAGCCTGTTTCTCTGCATCTTTAAGTACTACACTTAAAAATCTATGCTGTGGGGTCTTTGCTTTTTCATCTCTGTGGTGTGAGGATCCGCTCTAAAATAGCACCTGATATATTGTAAAAGGAGACTTTTGGGTGCTTGGTTGCTCACCTGAGGGTTCCTCGGGTGCTCAAGGGCCAAGACTGACGTTCTGGAGCAGGTTGGGTTGGTCATTGCCCACCCCAAAAACCAGCTCTGGCTCTGCCTGGTGTAGAGCAAAGCCTGGACAAGGGAGGGAGGTGAAAGCAGCCATCTCTGCAGCTGAGTCCCTTGGCAGGTTCATGCTGGGCGCATCTGTAAGCACTTTGGCTTTGTTCCTGGGCTGGGATTGATGGTTTTGAGCAGAGGCAGCTGGCTCTCAGCGTGAGGGGCTGCAGAGGAGGGAGAGACCAGAGGCAAATGAGTAACATCCACAATGCGGGCACAAGGGGTAAGTAGAGGGAAGCACAGCGGTGTGCTGTGTCTGAAAGGAAGACCCTCACCTTCGTTTTCTGCCTGGTACCCCACCCAGCATGCAGTGTTGGTGGGTGCGAGACAATCCTCCCGCTGAAGCACGTGTCGGTGGAGGGCAGCCCTTCTAATCCCCCCCTTGCTTTGGGTGTTCAGAGGAAGCAGCCTGTCTGCTGTTGGCTGTGGTGGCTGATGCTCATCGAGGATCACCCCCCTCCTTAAAGAAATTAATTTGTCAGGCTGGTGCAAGTGGAATGTGACAGACTGACAGAATGTGACAGCGCTGGAGATCGAGCCCTGTGCGTGTTCCCAGATGGACATCCCTGCCCTGCCGTTGCCGTGTCTCACACTGATCCAGAGCAGTGTCTGCAGCCAGAGAGCGTGGTTCAGCTCTCGGGCCACTCCGTCTTGGTTCCTCTGAGACCACCTGCCCCATGGGCGGCTGCTGTTCACCCTCCTCTACTGGAAATCGCAGGGATTCACTTTATTCTCTGCTTGGTTTTTGGGGTTGACCTCCAGTTTGGCTTTGTCTTCACCTTGGGCAGATCTGTAAAGCCTCTGCAGGCTGTTTTTGCACGTGGTATTTGAGACTTGACCCCATGGATACTTTAAATCCTGCAGAAATCATTTGGGCTTGCTTTAGATAATCTTCCTACAGCGTTGCAGGTTTTCTGTCTCTCCTAGCTGCAGTTTTGCTCTAGCCACCAGGGCGGTGGTTAGTAGTGGTCCAGTGAAAAGGGAACAAGTGGCGAAGTATTTCACTATGGGCACAGTGTTTTAAGTGTGACTCAGGTGTTGGTGGCAAAAAGCTGTTGAGTGGTAACTTGCTGGAGGGAATGGGGTGCTGAGATGGTCCCATGTTTTGGGGCTCCCTGAGGAAGAAGCTCATTGAATGTCAGGCTCAGGCAGCTGGACGTCCCCACAGCTGAGCCTGGTGGGTCAGGCAGGATGGGGACAAACCAGTTCCCGAAGTGTCACACCATCATGGGCTCTTCTCCCCTAGGGGTGATGTGCCTCCCGCTTCTCCTGCATCCCACCCCAGGCAGCCCAGTTCTGGAGGAGATGCTGGGGAGTTCCAGACTGCCCTTCTCCAACTACATCACCCTTGAGAGTCCTCACCACCCTTTGGTGGATGGGTAGAGACTTGAACTCCCCGTGCAACAATTCTGGCTTGCAAGAAGGAAGGAAAACTTGAACCAATCTGAATCTGTTGCTATAGGGAAAGTTGGCTCTGTCTGTCTTTGCAGGGATGTGCTGCTTTCCTTGATGGTTTTTTTGGTAGCAGGCTTTTTCTTGGAAGGATCCACAGACTTCCCCTTAGCTTGTTCGGTTGACTGTGCCAACTGGACTGCCGGAGCGAAGAGAAGTATTTCAGGATCTGCTGTTGGTACAAGTCGTACCATGAATACTTGCAGAGGAATGTCCTGGCAAGGTGACAAGGATTAGGGTTTTTTTTTTGCCTCTTCTATATATATTTTGGTCCACAAAAGAAGTGAGAAAATCTGGGTTGAGTGTTAAATGACAGGTGCCAGTGGGGTGAGGGGTCTGAAAAATCAAGGAACTGGGTTTTTCTGACTTTTCATATGTGTTAGGATTTTAGAGCAAGATTTCGTATTAACACAGGAATGCTGGGGTGGATAATGGCTTCCCTGGCAGAAAGCGTGGCTATAAGTAAGTGGTATGCATGTTAACACAGTATATTTTGCTTTTATCCAGAATAAGATGAGTCACTATTTTCATAGGAGATTATTTTCCCGGTTCAAGAGACCATGCTCCTTTTCGGGAGCCTTCCTGCTTAGCAGTCACGAAGAGTTGGAAGAGTTTGCCCAGTGTTGATCTGAAGTATGACATTTAGGATACGTTAAGCAGCTGCTGTGTTTCTGCAGCCATTGCAGATAACCATATGCAATATAACATGAGAGCAGGCCTAATTACTGTGCTTAGTGAATGTGATTAATCCTGCTGGCTGAGGAGCCCAGGGAGCGGTGGGAAGCTGGGGCGGTGTGAGAGGCCGCTGGAAATCACGTGCAGCTCTCGGTCTTCATCTGTGCTGGGCCAAATGGCACCAACTGCTCCCGAGTTAACAGCACAACCAATCTGATTTTATTTATGGTCTTTAATTAAGTTTCCATTTTTAAAGGTGACCCTTTTCTCAGGAGTGAGCAGTGGTGCAGCTAAAATCCCTGCAACCATACATCTCTGTGTCTTTTCACACTTGAAATGGTTATTCTGGGAGCTGCATATTTTTCTTCCCCATAAACGAACGTGGGAAAAGAATGGCTGGCAAGGGCAGATGCTGATGTGTAGACACTATGTGACAAGCCTGGTCTTGCAAATACCCTCTGCTTTGGTGTGGGCTGAGGGCATGTCCATGGGTGGGCACAGAGGGTGGTGACCAAGGATCTGCAGAGATGTGGAGACACTAGGGTCCATGGAATGGGCCAGTGTGCCCTGGCAGGGAAGTGTGAGGGGAAACCTGGGCTTTGCTTTGGCTGGGATGGAGCGGTAAAAGTTCAGGAAGCAACTTTCCTGTGCATCATCTTGAACCAGATTTGTTTTGGGGGAGGAAGGGTGATCTTGCAAAGTACGCAGCAGGACTGGTGAAATGTGGGTTGTCCCTGAAGTTCAGTGAGTGCTCCAGCCACCCAGGACTGCCAACAGGACTTTCCTGTGGGGCTCCAGGTTTTGGATGCCTGGAGAAATCATGTGGGGGAGTGTGTGGAGAGACCCAAATATTCCTTCTCCTCCTGAGTGATGCAGTGCCATTGTGTGGCATAGCATTGAAGCTTCTGGTCCTGTCCATGAATAATTCAGGCTCTGTGTATGGGGATCTTCAATATGCAAGTTTTAAATAAAGCATCTGCTCTCATCTAAATTGCAGTTGACTTGGAAGAAGTTGGCTGAGGGGTTTGCGTGGGGCGGCTGAGGCACAGCTACCTGCCCTCGCGTGGGAATGCCCAGCCGGGGCATCACGAGGATGCACGGGGGGCCGCCTGGTCACAGGCGCTCAGTCGGACCTCGCGAGGACCTGGGAGCCCTTGAGCTGGACCACGTGGTGAGCTGAGCATCCTGCTCGAGGCCGTCCCACACCTTTGGCTTGTGAAGACTCAATCCTGCTGCTGGCAGACATTGCTGAGGTGGTGGGAGCTCCACCTTCCCCACGCAGACAGGCTGTTCTTCCCATGGCCTTGATAAGTTGTGATGGTTTTTCTCCCTCTCCACCTATATGACAGAGGGAATATATCAGCTGGCCCTGTACATGTTTTTTGTAGCTGCCTGGAAGCAAGTTTGCTCCTCAGAATCCTCCAGTCTCTCTCTTTAACAGGTCTCAATTTGCCCAGTCTCCCACTCTGGCTGTCATTAGCAGTAAAAAGGTTGCTGAAGCCTCTGACAAATCTTAGCGTCGATTATAAATAATTCACTTCGACACTAGTGGTTTTCTATATTGCTTGCTCTCAAAAGCATTTTATTGTTTGTCTGTACCTGTAGGGGCTGGAGACTTTTTTTAAAACTTATTTTTGGAGATGATTTCCCACCAAACCATCTCAGCCAGAGGAAATAAACAGCTGCAACAAAGCGATCGTTTGTCTTGGTTCTGGTTCCAAGAGACGGCGAGAGCCAGTTTTCCAGCCTGGTTATGTTGTTTGGCCCTATGATGTAGGGAACAATATTAGCTGATGGGAGCAAAACTTAAAATGTGCCCTTGCTGGGAAGTTGGTGGGAACCATCTCAGAGTTGCTGATGGTGTTTCGAGCCCTTGGTGCAGGAGGCACGTCTTCATGAAGTCACGCTGGGTTTGTTTGATGTTGCGGAACAGCAGTCATTCCTCCTACTGTCACCTTCTGCTGCTCAGTGATGGAGAAATGGGAAGAATCAAAGAGCAGGGCAGGGTTGTGCTGCTCTCAAGAGCTGGGCAGTGTGCTCCTGGGGCAGGAGAGTCCTGTTTGACCTCCTGAAAAGTTTGCACTTGCCCATTTCCCTGTGATATGGCTTCACCAAAGTAAAGAAGACAAAGGTAAAATCCATTTAGAACTCATCAGGGCTGCTCTAACAAGCCCCAAGGGCAGCTCAGGATGTCTCCTTTGATGCTGTATCCCAGGCGAGAGATGCTCTCAGCTTCCTCTATACCCAGCTAGCAGTCACCCCCTTTTTTTCAGCCCATCTCTTGCTCAGCTGGTTCTGGTGTGGGTATAATGTAGCAGATGTTTTCCTAGGTCTCAGTTACCCACATGTGCTGGAGTGAGCCACAGGTGCCTCACACTTGCTGTAGGATTTTATCTGCTTATACCTTCCTAACACCCCACGCGAGTCTGCTGAGGAAGTGGTCCCAGTGAATGAGTAACATGGCTCTGCAGCTGGTGATTAGCCTGTTGGATTAGTAATAAGCCAACGGTCTAATCTTGGTTTATCTTGGTCTTCTGGACTCGGACCTGCCCGAAGCAGAAGTGTGTGCTGATGGCTGGACATTGGGGCAAACCCTGGGCACCCAGCCTTGGTGCGTCAGCAGATCTCATGCCACTCCGCTTCTTTCAAGTAGTTTAGTGCTTGTGGCGAAGGGAAGACTAACCTGCCCAACTTCATAATTAACACTGGCATTTGGTTTGTTTCATTTAATCATGCATAACTCACATGCAGTTAAAAGCACTCTTTCCCTTCAGCAAAGTAGGAATTTCTGGAATAAACCAGCTAGGTGGGAACTATTTGGAAAATGCAGCAACACCCCAAACTTGGTGTAACGGGAGGGATTTTCAGGCAGGGCTATTTTTATGCTGACAGCAACGTCATCACTGTATAAAAGTCTGTTGTAAAGAGCTTGCTGCAGGTGTGGATGTAAAGAGTGAAAGGTGTGAAGGCTTCAAGCAAGAGCATTTGTATTTGCAGCCAGGACGGGTTGAGCGGGTTGTGTTGGGCAAAGCGATCTCGGGAGTGGCTGGAAATTCCAGTGGATAAAGTTAATAGCAGTTCCAATGAATGTGGAAATGGAAATAAAATAGCACCCTATAACATTGCAGCTGCTTTCCCTGGCGTGGCCCCTGCCTCGCTGTAACTGCCTTTGTAAAGCTGAGTGTTGCTCTTATCTTAAAAATACATGTTTTTTTTCTGAGTGTAGTGGTTGTGTTGAGTTCCTGACAACTGCAGAGGTCTCGGAGCCATCCCGTGTCAATTAGCAGCTTCTTGGTAATACAGCCTTAAAGAGAGGGAAGAAGTGAAAATAAATACATCTGATTTTTAATTGCCTTGGTACAGCAGAGCCTTGGGTGTTGGAATATTTTAGCACCTGCCCAGTTTAACAGTTGCTTATTGTTCCTGGGTTTTACAGCAGAGCCCGAAATGTCGGCGTGCAGCTGCAGGCGGGCAGGGTTTGCACGAGGGGTTGGGACAAACCAGCAGGAAACTTGAGAGGTGCCAGGAGATATTTCTGGGCTTGCTGAGAAAAGTTGAGGATCATTCAGTGTGAAAGTGTTTGCAGGTGAAGCGAGCTGTGCTTCAATGCCAAATTTGAGAGCTGTTCTGCTCTGAAAAGTTTGCTGTGCGAGCTGTGCATTCGTGCTCTCATAGGTTGGAGATTGGAGTGGCAAAGGCAGTGCCAGAGCCTCCCCGCTCTCCCGTCCCCTTTTTGCTGGGGAGGAGGAGGAGGAAGACGAGCCAGATTCTGTTTCTGTGTGTCAGCAGCAAAGCTGCTGCCCAAATCCCAGCGCTGGCCACCTGTGCCAAACCCACAGCAGCAGAGTTTGAAGTGCACATGCTTTGTGCCTGCTGTTGATGTTTAAATATATAAAAAAAAAAAAAAAAAGAAGGAAAAAAAAAAAAAAAACAAAGAAACAAACAAAAAAAAAACCAAACCAAAACCCCTCAACTTTGTCTTGCTTCCCTGGAGTTTGCCACACTGCCCTCCCCTGCAGCAGAGGGCTTTGCTCAAGGTGCTGCCCCCAGAGAAGGTGGCTTTTGTCAGGGTTCCTCCTCACTCTGGCTGCAGTCCAGAGCGGTTACAGCCGCTGGAAGGACTGTTGCTGGCTTCAGAGGACTCTGGGTCCTTCCCTTTGTGTCATCTTTTCTGAGAGATTTAATTAGCTAGGTAAAAATTAACATCAGCAGTTGCAGTTTGTGGGTGATGGCCAAATGATGCACAAGACCCCTTGTCTTCTGTGCTTGCTCTTGGCAAAACTCATCCTCTCCCTTCCTCCCCTTCGAGTAGCTTCAAAGGCTGTTTAGTTTCTCAGTGTTTGGTAACTGGGGAGGATACTTCACCACGCAGCTCAGGAGAACTTGAACAATCTTGTTTAAGGGGAAAAGAAAAAAAAAACAAAACCAAAAACAACCCAAAACGTGCTTTTTCCCAAGCTTTGAATCTCCTGTGCTTCATTTGATTTTTATTTTTTTTAAGAGACACTTCTGCCTGAAGTGTTAAAAACACACCCTTGGAGCTGCTGCAGCAAAGCTGATCCTTGGGCATAGTAAAAGGTTTAATGTATTTTTGTAGGATCCCTTTACAATTCCCACAAGAGAATCCTGCTAGGAAAAATAGAGCTACAAAAAAAGTTTTACATTTGTTTAAGAAAAGCAAAACCAAGCCCAATTTCCAGGTATTACCAACTGCATCATATTTAACAGGTGAAAGATATTTGAGCACGAAGTGACTCGTTGGTGCTGTTGCTATCACTGGATAATGTGCCTTTACAGCTTGCCAGATCTGTGTTGGAGACATGCAACTACATGTGGCTGGGTTTTTTACTCCCCCATCCTGGAAAAATAAATCCCTACTGTCTAGCCACGGAGGAGTATGCATTTTTTCCCCAGCATATAATCTGTGGTACTCCTATAGAAGATGCTAAATATGAACAGTGCATATGCAGGTATCTTTGACTAAATAAGCCAAACATGACAGGAGGGACCTCTGCCTTATCTTAGGGGCTGCAAGGGGATTTAAGGTCCAGATTTGGGGACTTTTCTGAGCTTTGGCTTTTTTTGGCCAGCCCGATCCACGTGGCATGACAGGGAAGGCATAAATGTACAGCCTTCTTCACTTTGCCCTGGTGTAGGGACAGCCACCCACTGTGTGTGGTGGGACAGGAGATGGCAGTGGGGCTTTCCAGGTGACACGGTGGCGGTGCTGAGGAGGGGGATGGCAGGGTGGCCTGTTGGTCTTGGAGGATGGCGGTGATGCTGGACCCTGTGTCCTGCTCCCTTGCATGATGCCTGCTTCTGCCTGGGTGCAGCGAGCACTCCAGGAGCTGCACTGTGCCCAGCCACCGAGCTACAGATCTGTGCATCCTGGGTCTGCAGAGACCTGAGATGTTTGATGTTTTTTTCCAGGGCCACCTGACCTCCCTTCATGCATCCGTCTGAGAAACGGGCAGAAGTTGAGCCCTCTGTCCTCCTTAGGTGGCTTGCAGCCATACAGCAGGGGAGAGCAGAGGTGGTTTGCTTTCTAAAGGCTCCTGTCTTTTTGTCCCCAGATCTCAGGAGCTGCACCTGAGAACAGAGGCGCATTCCTATCTCTCTGACCTGACCAAGCCATCGGACTTGGAGTTCATTGAAACCAAGAGGCCGCGCCTGGATCTGCTGCAGGACCCCCTGATGAGGCACTCGCCTCTCCTGAACCAGAGCCAGCAGGGAGGGACGGAGGATCTCTCAAAGGTAAGGGGACAGTGGTCTGACATGCTAACTGGGTGTGGGGGTCTGTGTTTTGGGATCCCCTTGGGTTGTGCAGAGCTACCTTTGAGGCGTTGAGCTGCTACCGAAATCAGTGTAGATGATGGTTCCTGACGGATCAGGCGGTGCTTGGTTGTGTTGGATGATACTCGCTGAGAAGGGATGAGCACTCTGGTGAAACAGAAGCATATTAGCTTTCCCCATAACTGTTACAGTCACAGGCTTGCATTTACTGGGCTGTTAGATGCACCAGAACAATTCGAAAGCTCTTATTGGCTGAATTAGGGATGGTCTTTTCTGGATATTATGCCCTGATTTGATTTTTACTTGACCTTTCTTATTTATCACATCTCTTTATTTAATATTGGTTTTTGAAGGGTTTGAATCCATTGCTGGTGGTTCTTTAATAAAACCTTCCCCAGGAAAACCTCTCCTGTCTTAGTCTCATTTAACAAAGCAAATTGTTTACTTGCAGTTGTCCCTTCTGCACCTGTAATAAATGTTGCAAGGAGAAATCCCTTGTTTGTGTGCCTATTTGGATTTATTTTCATGCTCTTTTGGGGTAAACTGTGCTTGATTTTTACCTTGAGCTTGGACATATTCCTGTTTGGCAGGAAAGTTGCAGGGTGAACGTGCTGGGGGCAGCTGGCTTGTGCTGCCGATGCGAGCTCCAGCACTCTGAGCGCTGAGGGTTAATGCCACTGTAGGCTGGGCTTCAGAGATGTCTGAGCTCTTGGTGAAATGAAAAGGAGGTCGCATCCTTACCCAGGGTGGTGGGGATGGTTTGCTGTATCGCTGTGAGAGCTGATTGAAGTAACGTACAGGGAAGAAAGCTCTTGCTTGGGAATGCTGGGATATTCAGGCATGGCTTAGCTGTACAGTACTGGTGGGCCTTACATGAGATCCCTCTGCCCTGTCTTGAGTGAGAAGGGCATTTAACTTTGGGGTACTTCAGATGTCAAGGGAGGCATGGCTGGATCTCCTGGAGGAGAGGGCTGCAGGGATTGCCGATTAGGAATGGTGAGCTGATGCTGGAAGGGGTGGAGCAGCTCTTTAGGAGCCATGTTTCGACTCAGGGACCATGAGAAACGCACCAGACACGTCAGCTTGCTCTCCTTTAGCTCTTGATAGTGTGTTGCCTTGGAAAAGATGCCTCTGAGGTGCTATGGCCCTTCTATGTCCCGTCTTTGCTGCTCCCTCTGAGATGCATCTTACCAAGGTGATGCTGTGACCAGCCAGGAGTCTGTTCTCCGTGCCACCGGGATGTGTTGTGGTGGCTCTGAAGTATGGAGTGTACTCAGGGGATGCTGAATTGGGTGGCTGATGGGGAAAATAAACTGTTGGCCATGAAACAAAAAATATCTCTCTCCAAAGTCGTGAGGAAACCAGGACAGCTTTTCTGTCTGCTCATTATTTCCATCAGCAGTTCCGTTCTGCATCTCACTGGAAAACCACGTATTGTCTCAGCTATTTGTTTCTGGTAGGCAAAGCCACTCTTGAGGCATTAGTTGGTGAGTTCAGGGGCTGCATTTGCTTCTTGATCTGTGACACATTTCCAAGAATTACATGCATTTTATGGGGCTTAAAACATTTGTTAATGTAAGAGAGAGAGAGAGAAAGCTGTGAGATACAATTCAGCAAGACAAGATTATGCTTTTAGTGGAGCCATTTGTAACTTCAAGAGTCTGGAAGGAAGAAAAATGTGGTGTCCGTGACTGGTGAGAGCCTAAGAGGAGCTGGGATTAGTTGCTTAGAACTAGTGGGGGCTGTATCCAGAATGGGTTTGATGGAGGTCACTTCAAGACTGGAATGATCTCAGTGCTGTGCAAGTGCTTGGGAGCAGAAGGCAAATCTGGGTGTAGGACCACCATTCTGAAGGTATATCTGCCTTTGTAGCTTGGGAAATTGGATTAGTAGCAGTTTTTTGGCTTTATTCTTGAGCAGTCATCCTCAGACTAGACTGTAAACTGCTTGTGGACACTAAGGTTGTGGTAAATAAAGCACCTGCAGCTGAGCTGTGGATCACCCTGAGCCTCAGTATGTTAGGGGAGCTGTTCCCAGTGGGCTGGACCAGGGGAAGTACGAAGAGCTGAGACCGGTCTTTGGCCACACGCTCAGGACATGTGCATATCTGGGCTATTTACGCATGTAAAATTACTTTTTGCATCCCTGCTAAGCCAGCAACAGTTGAATTCGGCACTGGGCTCTCACGGTGTAAATCACCATCTAGAAAAGCTAATCAAGACCTTCCCGAGAGGCTCTGTGCTGAGCTCCATGGCTGCTGTCAGCTCCTCTCCCTGGCTGATGTGACCCCCTAAACCAGCACGCTGCGACGCAGCCCGTCCTGACACCTAATTCCCACTCCGCTCCATCCCTGCGGAGACCGGCCCGTGCTTCACTTCTGGCAGCACCACGTCTTTCCTGCTTTTCCTGCACCACGTGAGCCTGGTATTATTAAACACGCTCGCGGTTGTTTAGGCAGTATCCTAGGAGTTGTTCGCTTACCCCTTACCCCATTCCACGCTGTTGCAGTCACTGCGTGGGGAGGAGCTCAATTTAGTCATCTGCATAATAGCGCTAGGACTGCTTTTCGTGGTGATTTTGCAGATTGAGCTATTTTTTTGCACAGTAAAGAGCTTCACAAACCCCTCCATAAAAAGGACAGGGGTTTGCTTATACGCTTGGGGTGCCAGCCTGGCTGTCACAAGGGATGTAACTGTAATGCAGCAGCAATGGATCTCGCTCTCAGGCAGTGGGTACCTGTTGGTCTCTGGTTTCAGAGCAATGCTGGAGCTGAGATGCAGAATCAGGTCTGTGGTGGAGTGTGAGTTCTGCATGTCCCTAATGATTACTGGTTACCCTTAGATTTACCAACCTTCAGGCCAGGGGAGAGAAGTTAACACCATTCCTGCACATTTTCAAGGCCTTTGTTTTGGGCCATATCTGTGCTTTTAACACAGATTAAGTAACTGATGTGGCAGATGCTGGTAACAGGTTTCAGAGTTTTATCCTGAAGAGAAGTGGATCTCTTATGTCTTTTATTCTTCATCCACTTCTCCCAGAGGTGGGGTGAGCTGTCCCCCTTTACCTCTTTCAGGATCAGTGCAGCCTCACTCCAAGCAAGGCTTAATTTTTAAGGGGAAGGTAAGGTCTTCTGTTAGATCAGCATGTTCTGGCTGGAGAAAACAGGCATGCTTTTGGGCAGCGTGCCTTTCAAAAGCAGCAGTTTTACAGCTAAATCTCAGTTGGTCTAGTAAAAGATATTACCTTTCCTTACGAACCGCACATTGCTCATATGCTCAAATATTGGTGTTTCTCTTAAAGCCGGGTAGCAGAAGGTTGTTTGCTTGCTTTCCCCGGCTTCAGCATATTTTTGCCTGCAGGAGGGATTGCTGTCACACTGCTGCAGTGCTGTAGTCCTGGGCTCCTGCTGCTGGAGGTGGCCAGGAGGGCTCCAGTGAGCTCAGTCTGCTGGGGGAGGAATGAAATCTCCGTGTGCCCTCTGTGCCAGCGTGGGCTGACGCTGACTCCAAGGTGCTCCCTTGAGCTGGCTGAGAATAACCAGGCAAAACCAAAGCAGGACTGTTTCTTCAATCACTGCAAGCCTGGATGTGAGATTCGCTGGAAGAGCTGCCGTGATGCAGATCTGCCGGGCGTGCTCTTGGCAGAGATGCTGGAGCTGGTTCCCAGGACCCTCAGTGGCTTCTGCTTTCTTTCCGATAGAGAAAGTCACGGACCTCCATCCTGCAACAGCAGATAGGAGTAAACCAGACGGCTCCAGAGCAGGCCAGTAACGCATCTGCCCGATCCCTTGTCTCTGCATACGTGCGCAGCTGGCGCTGTGTGCGATCCTAGCCCGTAGGGACGGTGAGCGTGGCACGTCTGCTCTCCCCTCTCCGGAGCTGGAGGTTAGTCCTGCCTCTCCCCTTCCACCTCTTACTCCCTTTATGCTTCCACTTGTTCTTCCCATTTCTGAGGCTGCTTTTCCACCACGTACGTGGTTTGCAGCTCCTTCCTATAGGATGTGAGTCAGTAGTGATCTGCATTTAGTCCCCATGCAAGGGCTGGCTGCTTGCCCTTACGCATAGCCTATTGCTCCAGCAGGAATATGCTCACAGGGAGCCATGTAGTCCCCCGGGTATGGGGCTGGGTGGAGGCTTAGGAAACCTGAACCTTGCTGCCATCTGCCCTGGCAGGCCGCTGGTCACTGGGTAAGTCTCTTCCCCTTTCTGTATCTCAGATTTTCCCATCTGTATAAGGGACAATGCCACTTCCCTCTTTTGTAAAATAATTAAGAACTATTGATGGAAAAGGCTATTAAGAAGCCATGTGTTGTTAGGACTTGGACTCTGCTTTACATTGTTGAAGGGTTTTAATTCCTTCCCTTTCTGCGTGAGTCTTTTTGTTGTGCTATGGTCTAAAACCTGAAATAAGAAAAGGGAAGGGGGGAGCCTTGGAAAAAGCAGCACCAAAGCCAGGAAATATGTATGGCAAAGCAGAAATTAGGGCAAAGGGTATTTCACTTTGATGCACGTTAATGTAGTTTTAAAAGCAATTAATTGAAAAAGGAGGAATTAACACATTTAAAATGCCTTTTTAATGATGCATTGAAGCCAGCAGTACATATGCCAAATCTCACACTGGCTGCCCGTTCCAGGGCCCAATTCACAATAAACTCCTGGAAAACTGGCTGTGGGATGGGAAGGCTCTTGGCTAGCTCACGAGCTCCTGCCCTGGCCACAGACTGGCAGAGCACCGAGGGCAACTGAAAGACCTTTTCAGGAGCCCTGCTTCCTCCTTGCCACGCTGGCCGGTGCCTTGGCAGTGCCGTCCCCTGGTACCTGCTCCGTCCCTTCCCAAATACGCTGGGGAGAGGGGCAGGAGGTTGAGGACTCCTGCATCAGGGTTTGCCCCGGCACAGGGGTGGATGCTCAGAGAGGCAGCACCGCAGCTCCCGGTGCGGATATCTGGGCCGTCCAGCTGGT